TGTTATGGGTTACCGGTCCGTTGCCATGGGTTACCCGGTCCGTTGCCATGCGTTAACTGTCCGTTGCCATGCGTTTACATGCGTTGTTATGGGTTAACTGTCCGTGCCATGCGTTTACATGCGTTGTTATGGGTTAACTGTCCGTTGCCATGCGTTTACATGCGTTGTTATGGGTTAACTGTCCGTTGCCATGCGTTTACATGCGTTGTTATGGGTTAACTGTCCGTTGCCATGGGTTATATGACCGTTGCCATGGGTTAACTGTCCGTTGCCATGCGTTAACTGTCCGTTGCCATGCGTTACATGTGTTGTATGGGTTAACTGTCCGTTGCCATGCGTTTACATGCGTTGTTATGGGTTAACTGTCCGTTGCCATGCGTTTACATGCGTTGTTATGGGTTAACTGTCCGTTGCCATGCGTTTACATGCGTTGTTATGGGTTAACTGTCCGTTGCCATGGGTTACCGGTCCGTTGCCATGGTAACCGGTCCGTTGCCATGGGTTACCGGTCCGTTGCCATGGTAACCGGTGCCATGGGTTACCTGACCGTTGCCATGGGTTAACTGTCCGTTGCCATGCGTTAACTGTCCGTTGCCATGCGTTTACATGCGTTGTTATGGGTTAACTGTCCGTTGCCATGCGTTTACATAGCGTTGTTATGGGCTTAACTGTCCGTTGCCATGCGTTTACATGCGTTGTTATGCGGTGGTTAACTGTCCGTTGCCTTGCGTTTACATGCGTTGTTATGGGTTAACTGTCCGTTGGTTATGGGTTAACTGTCTGTTGCCATGGGTTACCGGTCCGTTGCCATGGTAACCGGTCCGTTGCCATGGGTTACGCGGTCCGTTGCCATGGTAACCGGTCCGTTGCCATGGGTTACCAGACCGTTGCCATGGGGTTTAACTGTCCGTTGCCATGCGTTTACATGTGTTGTTATGGGTTAACTGTCCGTTGCCATGCGTTTACATGCGTTGTTATGGGTTAACTGTCCGTTGCCATGGGTTACCGGTCCGTTGCCATGGGTAACCGGTCCGTTGCCATGGGTTACCGGTCCGTTGCCATGGTAAACCGGTCCATTGCCATGGGTTACCTGACGTTGCCCATGGGTTAACTGTCGTTGCCATGCGTTAACTGTCCGTTGCCATGCGTTTACATGTGTTGTTATGGGTTAACTGTCCGTTGCCATGCGTTTACATGCGTTGTTATGGGTTAACTGTCCGTTGCCATGGGTTATATGACCGTTGCCATGGGTTAACTGTCCGTTGCCATGCGTTAACTGTCCGTTGCCATGCGTTTACATGCGTTGTTATGGGTTAACTGTCCGTTGCCATGCCGTTTACATGCGTTGTTATGGTTAACTGTCCCGTTGCCATGCGTTTACATGCGTTGTTATGGGTTAACTGTCCGTTGCCATGCGTTTACATGCGTTGTTATGGGTTAACTGTCCGTTGCCATGGGTTACCGGTCCGTTGCCATGGTAACGGTCCGTTGCCATGGGTTACCGGTCCGTTGCCATGGTAACCGGTCCGTTGCCATGGGTTACCTGACCGTTGCCATGCGTTAACTGTCCGTTGCCATGCGTTAACTGTCCGTTGCCATGCGTTTACATGCGTTGTTATGGGTTAACTGTCCGTTGCCATGCGTTTACATGCGTTGTTATGGGTTAACTGTCCGTTGCCATGCGTTTACATGCGTTGTTATGGGTTAACTGTCCGTTGCCATGCGTTTACATGCGTTGTTATGGGTTAACTGTCCGTTGCCATGCGTTTACATGCGTTGTTATGGGTTAACTGTCCGTTGCCATGGTACCGTCCGTTGCCATGGTAACCGGTCCGTTGCCATGGTTACCGTCCGTTGCCATGGTAACCGGTCCGTTGCCATGGGTTAACTGTCCGTTGCCATGCGTTTACATGCGTTGTTATGGGTTAACTGTCCGTTGCCATGCGTTTACATGCGTTGTTATGGGTTAACTGTCCCGTTGTTATGGGTTAACTGTCCGTGTGTTATGGGTTAACTGTCCGTTGCCATGGTTACCGGTCCGTTGCCATGGTAACCGGTCCGTTGTCATGGCGTTACCGGTCCGTTGCCATGGGTTACCGTCCGTTGCCATGGGTTACCTATGACCGTTGCCATGGGTTAACTGTCCGTTGCCATGCGTTAACTGTCGTTGCCATGCGTTTACATGTGTTGTTATGGGTTTAACTGTCCGTTGCCATGCGTTTACATGCGTTGTTATGTGGGTTAACTGTCCGTTGCCATGGTATATGACGTTGCATGGGTTAACTGTCCGTTGCCATGCGTTAACCTGTCCGTTGCCATGCGTTTACATGCGTTGTTATGGTTAACTGTC